ATCAACCTGTTCCGTGCTCCCCCCTTATTCATGCCTGGCTTCTCCCTTCCTGCTTCCCTTCCTTTCCAGGAAACCCAGCGATGGACCCCCGGCCACACTCGGTTTCTGGGCTACATTCAACTCACGTGACTTCTCTCCCAGCTCCCAGTATCCTGGTGGGAGGAATCTGGTTTCAGTGCCTGGGGAGTTAGCAAGTGGAGGAGGGCTCTGTGCTCCCTGACTTCAGAAGCCCACGGCCCTGCCACTGTGTTAAGACAGTTGGCTTTGTTGAGTGAGCTAATGTTTATAGCGCCTCGTGGGAGCTGGCTCATGGTGTGCTGTGTTTATGAGAGGAGGAAACTGAGGCTGTGTGTGGTTATTCATGGGAGGCACTGGGAGGTGTCCTCCCTGTTCTGATGGGAAACGAGGTGACAGAGCCACCAGGAATTCCACCCTATGGACTCACCCCTCTGGCAGCTAGGATGTTAGTTCCCAAGCCTTCTCCAGTCCTGTTTATTACAGTTTCTGCTGGGAGCATGTGTGTCCTCCTCATTTTCCAGGATATAGGTGTGTTGCTACTTTTTTTCCTCCAGGCCTGCCTGCCCGCCCTGGCCGTGTGCTCAGCCTGTCACTGCGCCAGGAGAGCTCTAACTGCTCCCCTGTCCTGCCCTGGAACATTTTGATTTAGTCAGGCTGGGGTGAGGCCTAGACATGGGAATGCTGAAAAGCTTCCAGAAGATTCTAAGGTAAAGCCAAGGTCAAGAACGAACCAGGACTCAAAGGTGGTGTTTCTTCACTGAGAGTGATTGGGCTGCCCCACCCCCACTCCAGATGCCAGTGCCTGGGATAGTTTCTGATGGTCACCACCGGGACGGGGGTGAGTGCTAGTGGTGCCTACTAGGTGGAGGCAGGCAATGCTGCTAATCATCTCACAATGCATAGGACTGCCCCCCCTTCCAAAGAATAATCCAGCCCTGGGCCTCCCTGGTGGTGCAAGGGGTTAAGTGTCAGCACTTTGAAGCTGTCCCCAGCCACTGCAGCACGACTTCAATCCCTGGCCAGGGAGCTACCCACATGGCGCAGCAGACCTCTCCTGTCTCACCCTCTGCTTCCCTCAGCAGTGTGTTTCAGTCAGTCTGCCTGTTCTGCTCCCCACTCTGTCTCTGGTGAATCCCCTCACCCCCCACATTCTGGTCTGTACCCCAGTTCTTGTATGCATAAATAAATAAATCTTAAGAGAGAGAGAATGATCCAGCCCCAGTGTCATAAGTGCTGGAGTGGAGAGACAATGCTCTGGAATGGTGGTTCATGCACTTGTGTGTGCACACAAGGACATGGAGCTCTAGGTCAAACAGGTGGCCAGACTTTACTCCTGGAGTTTCTGACTCAAAAAGTCTGGGCTGGAACCTGAGAATTATGTCTAACAGGTTTTAGGTCCTGCTGAAATTGTCCTCCCAGGGCTATGCTTTGAGAACCATACTCCAGAAAGACTGAATCCTGTTTTCCTGGGTCTATGATAAGTTGTATCTATTATGATTACTAGAAAACTCTAGAATAATGATGAGATAGTAACCAAGAGTAAAGCGCATTTCTCTCTCACAGATATCCAGATTAAGGTCAAACCAGGGTGACTGTGGAAGTTCTGGGGTCATCAGGGACCCAGCTTCTCTCTTCTTGTTAGATCATCTGAATGCATGGCTCCTATTGTCAATGTGCCTCATGACCCAGGATGGCTGCTGGAGCACCAGCCATCATGTCTTCATTGAAAGACAAACATAAAAATTGAACTATTTCCAACACCTTTTGAACAGCCTCCCTGGAAGATCAGGGACACTGTGTCTTATATCTCTTTGGCTGGGTCTTAGTCCCATGGCCAGAGCTAGCTAGCTGCAAGGGAGACTAAGAGATAGTTTTTTATTCTGGGCCATAATGTGTCAGCCAAAAATTAGAGCGTTGTTACTAAGTAGAAAGGGTAGAATAGCTGTTGGGCAACTAGTAGCTTCTGCCCACATATGCATGCTTGTGCCTAATCCTCCCTAAGAGTTATTTATTTGGATCTGCCATGTTCCATGTGCTTTTCGTGCAGTAGCTCATTTAATCCTAAAAGCTTTGCAAGGAAGATAATAATATCTCTATTTTGCAGATGGTGAAGCTGAAGTTCTCAGAAATTAAGTCACCCACCCAAGTTACAGTCTCAAAGGCTAAGATTTGAAAGTCTGCTTCTAAGCCTGGCCAACCTCTTGCCTCATTTGTTTTCAGACACCTGACCTTTTATTTGAGAGCCTGTAAAGTGTCTCTTAGGCCTTTCCGAGTCAAAATCTGGCCCCTGCCCTTCTGACTAGCTCCATCCCATTGTTTCTTGTGTCTGCACTGGGATACCCCTCATTTATAGATCTGTGGGGAGGCAGACTCAGTGTGTCCAGAGTCACAAGATTAGTTTCCCATTGCTGCCATGCAATCACTACACATTTAGAAAGTTAACATAACACAAATGTCTTATAGTTCTGACAACTAGGTGCAGTGGGTTAAAGTCAAGGTATCAGCAGGGCTGGTACTTTCTGAAAGCTTTAGGGGAGAATCCACTTCTTTGCCTTTTTCAGCTTGCAGAAGCCATTTGCTTCCTTTGCCCATGGCTCCTTCCTTGGATGCTTCCAGCCTTTTGCTTCCCTCATCATGTCTTCTACTCCCTCTCGTATGCTACTCCCTCTCCTTGCTACTCCCCCGCCTACGCTACTCCCTCTCCTATTCTATCTCCTTCCATCTCCTCTTGAAAGGACACAGCGATTACAGCTGGGGCCCACCCAGGTAATCCAGGATCAGTTCAGGATCCGTACCTTATTCACATCTGCACAGCCCCTTTTTTGCTGTGGAAGGCAGCCTTCACAGGGTGTAGGGGTTAAGACATGGCTATCTTTGGGGGCTCCTATCCAGCTTACCATGGGGAAGTTCTTGCTCTTAGTCTTCTCTTCCTTGGGCCTGTTTCTCTTTCATGCCGTGTTTCGAACCTAAAATACACAGACATTTCAGTTCTGTCCTGGGAGTTGTCACAGAGGCCAGAGGCAGGGTCTGAAGGGCAAGGCAGTATGTTGGAAGGCTTGTCTAATCAGCTCCTGGTGGCCATAGCAACGGGCATGAAAACATTCAAGTGGAAAGGATTGGGGGACGGGGTTCCTGCCCTAGGTGGCAGCGTGACTTAACCTGTGGAACGATGCAGGACCCAGAAGCACAAACAGCCCCATCTGGCAGGCGCCATAAACCCTCTGGGCTGTGTGTTTCTAGGCAATCTCTCAAATCTCGAGATGCCTTTGAATCCAGGTGCCCCCATTATCTCTCTCCAGGCTCAGAGCTGCTGTGTCTTTGGCCAAGTGTGGTTGAGTGGGGGGAGGGAGGGAGGCTAAGGCCAGTGATGTCCTAACCTCATTTTCCTCCCCCACCTGATGCCCTGGTCTCCCTCCTATAACCCCGGCCCCAAACCCTCCCACCTTGGCTGGGTCTGCCGAGCTGGGATGAGTCTGGGGTGTTGCGTGTTTTGCTTTTTATTTTATTTTGCAAACGCCTCCCAACATACTCCTCTGTGTTTAATATCCCACTGCCAAGTGCATGGGGTTGCCGGGCAACAAGAAGGAAGTCCCTGTGTGATTCACCCGCCGCTGCCAATTAATTTGCTAGCTGCGTGCGCTGCCGGGGTGGGGGGCACGGCTTCCCTGGCCTCTCTGAGACGGCTCAGAGGGCTGCTGCCCGGGAGGGGAAAGGAAACCAGAGAAAGGTTAGCAGAACTTGGAGGGGGGCGGTGATTGGGAGTGTTTTGGGGTCCAAATGAGAGTGTCTGGGGGGCCGTGCCAACACCTGCTTTCCCTCTTGGCCACAATCCGCGCCCTCCGCAGCCAGGGCGCCTCTGTGTGCGCGCACGGACGGGCGTTTCACGGGCAGGCGACTAAAATGCAGACTCTCCCTTTGAGCTCTGGTGCCGAGGAATGTGTGTGACTGGCTTCTCTGGGCTCTCGCTGTGCACCCCAACTCTGAAAGCACCCTTCTCTGGGTTTCCCAGCGGCTGCCTGGGGCTCACCCCACAGGAAGGGGAGCTCCTTTGTGCCAGGCTGAGCTGCAGCCCCCATGAGTCTGCAGGGATGGAAGGAAGTCTGCTGGCTTCTGGAAGGCCCTCAGAAGCCTCACCATATTGCCCTCGACTGCTGTGTGCTCGGCCTGGCACCGGCTCGGGTCTCCTGTCTGGGTCGGCCTGCATGAGGGCAGGTCCCTGTCTGCTTAATGTGGCACTGACAGCGTCTAGTCCGACGTGGTGATGGGAACTGCAGCTTCAGGGAGGCCTCGCGGTCCACCGTGCCGGCCGTGATCCGTGTCTGGGTCTCAGTTGGAAAATGGAGAAGTCCCCTGAGGCAATCAGTGGCGCTAACTGCATGCATTATTCCGCAGTGGGAGCTGGGGGTGATAGGATGCATCCAAGTCCATCTTCAGGCATGGACCATCAGCGGAGGGAAGAACTGTGTGTGACCCTGGTTGCTGTCACCTCTGTGGGACGCCTGTCCTGTCCACTCTGTAGCTTCCTCATTCCTCATCAGGGTCACTTCCTAACACCGTTCTCTGGAGAGTGGAGAAAAGCTGTGGTTGAAATGAGCTTTAGGGGTAGGGGCCAGACCCTTGTCATCCCCACCGAGGACATCCACACCCTCTCTCTGCCTCAGCTTCCCCATCTGGGAAGCAGGCAGCCTCGCAGCCCCCAAGCTCTGGCCTCGCAGCCCCAAGCTTCGGCCCTGCAACCCCAAGCTCCGGCCCCACACCTCATAGACACCGGCACGTGCTGACTAGCTCCAGTTTCCATCCCTCCAGGCCAGACGTGTCCAGCGGTGTCTGTAACATCCCCTCTGAGTGGGGTGTTGAATTTTGTGTGCGGGGTTCTGTGATGCTTCCGCGTGCAGGGAGCTCCTAGGAGGACTCTTGCTGACAGTCACCTGCAGAAAGACCAGAAGCCAGAGTCTAAACCCGTCTTCTTTCTGTGTCCACAGACCTGGACAGGAGGCTTGGCTCAGGGCCGTTCTTCAGGAAGCTGTGGAGCCACCGGGACCCCCGCCCCAGAAGGACCTGAGACGGGACTGAGTCCTGGGTTTGCTGAGGAATTCTGATTTTGGAGAATAAAGAAGCTTCTGGACTTGAGGAGACCTTTGAGGAGGACGCCTGAGGGTTGGCCTGCACTGGCTGGAGGGGACGCGCCCTCAGAGATGCCACATCCCACACCTGGTCCTTCTTTCCAGTGGAAAAGCCTTTCCTCCATGGCTGCCGGCTCCCGGGGCTCCCCCACCCCCACCCCGGGAACATACCCTTCCTCGCCCCCCACCTTCCACTCCGGCTGTGCCTTTGGACTCAGCAATTCTTCTTGTTTGCTCCATTATCTTCCAGCCGGATACAGAGTGAATAGTTAACTACACTCAGGTCAAATGAGATCTTAATTTTTGTTCCTGCTCCTTCTAAAGCGGCCGCTGTTTGTGCGTTGCCATGTGAGCCGCCTGGGAACCGCAGCCTCGCGGGTACTCGGGGTCTGGCCCCCCAGGCTCCAGAGTGGGGTGAATCCCTGGCGAGATCTCCAGGTGCTCAGAAAAGGGGATGCTGGTGGGGGCTTTGGCAGGAGAGCAACGGCGCCGGCTCGCCTGCCTTGGCCCACTCGCGGCATGTGCTGGAGGGGCTCAAGAGGAGGGCGGTCCTCATCCCACCACCTTCCCCGGCGCCAGCACACGGCAGCTGCGGAGCCCCTGTTCTCGCTGGGGGGAGTGGAGTCCAGGCCAGAACATGGAGCTTCCAGCAACAGTCTCTGTGCCAGAGTTGTGGCTTTTACTAAGACCTTCCTCCTCCAGTGTGTGCGGCCCCCACACACCTCTGACGACACCGGACCCCCCAAAACACGTGTCTTAACTGTTCCTTTCGCTCTGTAGCTGCCATATGCATGGCTGACAACACTCCCGCTTAGCTCTCGTGCGTCAGCCTCGTCAAAACGCAGAGTCAAAGATGACTGTTCTTTCTGTGTCCAGAGTGGATGGACGGGTTGCCCTGTCACGGGAATTAAAGCCAGACACCCCTGTCTTCCTGTGTTTAGATGTTTCTGTGTCTTCCACGAGGAACACTGGGATCCTTCTTGGCATCTTGGATTCACCGTGCAATGAGCAAGGAGACCCTCTTGAGGATGTTTGTGCTGTTGAGGTGCAGGGGCTGTTTGTGGCTTTCTTTCACTTTGCTTCCTTGACAAGCAGACAGACTCGTTGTACTGGTTAGCTCCCTCAGCTCAGGGAACAGAGACCCGCTTATGTGACCTCCGTAAACACTGGATTATTCCAAGTTGCAGTGGAAGGAAGGTACATAGGAGACAGGCCCAGCGGCTGCCCCACTAGATCTTTCCAAGAAACCCAAAGCCATTCAAGATAACGTCATAGTTCCCGTCTTCATCGATGGTTTCTAGGGATGGCAAGGGCTGGACACTGCACTCATCTCAGTGATCCGCCCAGCAGCAGGCTCCTCTGCCCCGATTCTGTAATCCTGCTCTGGCGGGGAGCTAGCGGTGACCAGTTGTCCCAGTTTGCCCAGGAGTGGGAGGTCTCCCGGGCGGTGGGACTTTCAGTGCTAAGCTTGCCACCGTCCTGGACACTTGGCTGCCATCCTGCTGGGGGCTTGAAGACCCTGCCCCTGCTGCAGCTTGACCTGCTCTAATGCGTTGATGGTCTGCATTGGTTAGAACCCTCGTGTCTGGCCACGTCATTGGCTACCAGGCCACCTATAGGTGGATGCCAATAGGTCAGGCGCCAATCTTGACCAAATCAGTTATTTCCAGGGTGGGAGGTTTGCATGATAGGAATGAACACCTGGGTTTAAAGACCCAGTGGAGCTCACTTCTTTCAGACGAGTGCTGGGGACTGACATTCCAGGTAGCAAGGATTCCTCTCCAGTACCATCCTCCTTAAAAAAGGGGACGTTAACCTTCCTTATTAAGAACAAAACAGTTGGTTAAAACCAAAACTAACATAGCCCCCGGGGGTGGTAGCTCTGAGACAATACGATGTTGTGAGTGTGTCCTCCATGTGCACACGACGCGGGGGAATGAGTCAGGGAGAAAAGGCTGCATCTTTGCCAGAGACTAAGCGCGAAGTCTTTGGGATGGTTTTGTCTGGAGAGCAAAAGGGTTGGCTAGAGGACTTCCTGAAATTCCTTTGAACACTTGAATACACTCAGATACCAAGGGCATGTAAATTGGGTCTAAGTGTGTACTTTTTCTCTAAAGTCCCCTAGATAACCTTTGAGTCCAGCTCAGATAGGGCTGCACGGGACCTCCCAGCTCAGGTCTCCTTTCTAGACCACGACTTTATCCAGGATAAGGGACGGAACGTGGTTGGGGGCGGGGTGGGGGGTACAGGGAGGGGATGGTGGTGCCAGCTCAGTTTTTGGTGTTTATGACAAGTAAGAACAACCTGGAGGCAAATTACAGGTTCTTTTCAGGTTTGTCAAAGCCAGGCTTTCGGGCTCGTACGCCCCCTGAAGCTGTTGCTTCTGGCAGGGGATCAGGCCTCCATCTTTTCTGCTGAGAGACAGAGTGTCTGCAGCTCCAGAGCTCAGGTGGCCCTGCGCAGCTTGCATGGTGTGGCAAGGAGGTCACTGCAGGCTGGGGGAGAGACGAGCGTGCAGACTTCTAGAAGCGACTCTTCCATTACTCATTTGAAGACTGAGAGAGACTCATGCCCCTGGGTCTCTGCCACTGTTGTCACTCTTGTCTTCACTGCTGCTGGATGTTAGCCCCGCACCCTGGGTACCATTTTTCCTTTTAAAAACTCATTTCAGGGGGCCTCCCTGGTGGCGCAAGGGGTTAAGCATCAGCACTATGAAGCTATCCAAGCCACTGCAGCATGAGTTTGATCCCCAGCCAGGGATGAACCCACACCTCTCCTGTCTCCCCACTGCTCCCCTCAGCAGTGAATTTCAGTAGATCCACTGGTTCTGCCCCCCACTCTGTCTCTGGTGTATCCTCTCACCCCCACACCTCTAGCCTGCACCCCAGTTCTTGTATGCATAAATAAATAAAGTAAATCTTTAAAAAAAAAAAAAAACTCATTTCAGAGATTTCATCATTGGTTCCAGGAGCAATAGTCTCCTGTTTCTTATCTTCCTTTCCATATAGAATCCCAGAGTCTGCCATGGCCTGAAGCACCACTCCTATCTAGATCTGCCTCTGAACATAGGAAGCCTCTAAGCGACACTGGACAAGGCATCGCCCCGTCCTGGGGAGGCAGCCACCTCGGCCGAGTGGGAGAGCATGGGAGAGCAGCTTGACTGACACATACACCAGCTGAAGAGGGAGCAGCAGAATCTTACAGAGCAGCTCTGGGCTGCCACGTGGCCAGGGGTGTCAATTTCTTAATGAGATTTCGAGCCTCTTATTCTCTCTTCCACGTATCTGTCTCTGATCCAGGTGGTGGGTCTCATGCTGAAAAAATCCCAAAGACGAGATAAAGAGTTGTGGATTTTTCCCTGAGATAGTCCTTCATCTTGGTTCATTCCATGCAAAATCAAGGACTTGGGCTACATGGTCCCCAGATCCTTTCCTAGCTCGGGTGGCCACAAGGCTGTCCTTTTAGATGGAGGTCACCACTCAGAAAGGGGCTGTTTGATTCCTTGTGCCGATGCCCAGGGTAGAGTGTAAAGCTGTTTCATCCACCTGCTGAACAGACTCCTCTTGCTTCAGGTTTTTTTTTTTTTTTAATGAGCATCACTTTGCCTCGAAAGAGTGCCCCGGCCCGAGATTTTGCTCACGCTTCCTCCTGCGGTCCTCCATGGCATGAAACTTGATGCACTGGAATTCCCTGTGCTCCTGGAATTCCAGATGGAGAAATGTTCATTGTGCTGAGGGAGAGATCAGAGGCTCTCATGGCGGAATCAGTCCCCCTGCTAAGGAGGATGTACTTTCAAGGGCATGAGGATGACCTTGAGAATGGCTGCTGACCTTGGACCAGACTTTCACGCCAGGCCAGGCTGGTGGGCTTCAGGGCTGCCCCTCACTTTTTGGGGGAGAGAGCCAGCGAAGGGACCCCATCTCTGCCCAGACCTTCAAAGAGCACTGAACGTGGCGTCTGGAAACCTGGGCTGCAGTCCTGCCTCAGTTCCCCCTGCTCCCGGCCATGTCTGAGTCTCTCAAGACTTGTCTCTGCTCTCAGTTTCCTCATCTATAAAATGGGAGAGACGAGAGGAAGAGGGGGGTCGGGATGGTCCTCCAAGATCCCTGGGGGTGTCACGTTCTAACCAGCCGGATGTCTGCTCTTCCCCCTCGCCCTTGGGCAGCAGAAGCCCCAACCGGGCTGCCCTGGGAAGTCCATTATCGAAGAACACTTCAAAGCTGTTTGCTCTGGTCGTCAGTTGCCGCGAACACGAGTTTGTTGAGGGAGAAGGCTAATAGACACACAGCCGGGTGACAGGAGCGGGGATGAGCCGCTGCCGATCGCCCGGGGGCTTGGGAGGGCTGGGGTGGAGGGGACCCGCCTGCGGTTTTAATCAATAAATAAAAACTGGGAGCTCCGCGTGGTTAAAGCTGTAGGGGATTTATTAGTTTGCTCAGTGAAAGGCAAATATTAAGTCTTAAGCTGACCCGTCCTGGGACCTGCCTGTTGGCTTTTGTGTGCCGTCGGCGCCGATCGCCATGCTGCCCAGGTTATCGGCTTCTGACCACGGGGTATTTTGAAAACTCTTTTCCGCCTCCTTCTCATTTCCTTCCTCGTTTGCCTGCCCCTTTGACTCAGGTCTGGACTGGGGGGCGGGGGAGCAGGGGAACTGCCCGTGGCCATGGTGTGGTGACTCAGGATAGTACTGGCCAGGAGGGTCCTTGCAACCCCCTCCACCCTCTGTCCTGAGCTCAGGCCTTTCTTCAAAGCCTGGCCTCTCATGGAAGTTAAAGTGGACATCATTATGGCATTGGACAGAGATGACCCCCTTTTTGAGTTATCATCTCTATTCAGATGTGACCATTGAAATGGGTGATTTCAGCCTGAAGCACTGAAAGATAGGACAGGTGGAGCTGGGTGGGGGTGGGGGGTTAATAGGGGCCTGGTCAGGGCTTGTCACTGTCCATGGAGTGAAGTATCCAGACCCCAGAGGCTGGACAGCCCCTTGGTCTATCCAGTTTCCAAGTAGGAGCTGCATGGGACTAAGCTAGATGGAAGATGCTTTATCCATGGCCTTACATCCTTGTGTACGTCTGTTCCAAAGCATACAGCTCTTGGGTACTCAGCATTTATGGGGGTGTGCATGCTCATGTCCACCCTCTGTGGGGTTTGGGACACCTGGGCACAGTGCTCCATGTCAAACCCTAAATGCCCTTTCCAGTCCAACTCGCTAGCGGTCCATGGAGGGTGCGTCTTACCAGACTGCTCAGGACGTCACATTTCTTTGCCACTATGCATGCAGATAAGAGTTGGGCCAGTCCTAGAATTGTTTGAGAAAGTTCCTTTCACGTTCCAGTGGTGATTTTGATGGAACTCGGCATGATTTTTAATCTTCTGGTAATTCTTCCTGTAGGAGTCTATTTTATTTTTTTTAAGATTTATTTATTTTATACAAGAACCGGGGTACAGGCCAGATGTGTGGGAGGGTGAGAGGATTCACCAGAGACAGAGCGGGAAACAGAACAGGCAGACTGACGAAATACACTGCTGAGAGGAGCAGCAGGCACGACGGAAGAGGCCTGCTGCCCCATGTGGGACCCTCGCCGGCCGGCCGGGATTGAACCAGCGCTGCAGAGGCTGTGGACAGCTTCATAGCGCAGCGCTCAACTGCCTGCACCACCAGGGGAGGCCCTGTTTGAGTCTATTTTGAAAGAAAAGTGACTCTGAAATCCTAATTCTACAAGACAACTCAAATGCTCCCTTTTCTGGGAAGTCTTTCTGGATTTCTTCTTCCCGTTCATCCAGATGTGTGTCCTTCTTCACATATTCCTTCAAAGCATTTGGCTAATTTCCAATCTCTTGACCTTGGTACTTTATTATGAATGTCATTTACTGCGCTTATGCTGAATTTGTTTTAACTACACACTTTTCCCCAACACAGTTATCTGTCTGTCTTCTATAAGCGCAAGAACTGAGTCACTCCTTATGCATTAAAACTTACTCCTGAAATTCCCTGTAACACTCAGGATCACATGGCAGACCCTGGGATTGATAAGAATCCTCAGAAAACAGAACTAGCAGGATCAATCTCTTTGACCGAGTGAGAGTTTGGAGTCAAAACAACCCCCAAATTCAAGTTCAGAGCTCTTAAGCTGTAGTGTGTTGGTTTGTACCTGGTGAATGTAAAGAAAGCTGTTGAGTTGGTTTTTCCCATTGATGACTTGTGATTAAGTTTGCTGCCTACTCTGCCTGGTTTTGTTTCTCTGCCTGCAGAAACTCTCCTTGAAATAGAATGGGTCTGCGAGCTAGGGTCATCTCCCAGCTACAACAGAGATATTAAAACTCAGAAGCTTAGCTGAAAGTTCTAATGAATTTCAGTGTCTATTAAGGACACATCTGGAAGAAAAATGCCACGCATGTGAAATGTTCCCTGCCCTAGGATCTTGCCACCTGGTTGGACAACACTGGTCCATGTGACGCCATCAAGCCAATGGGCTTGGGTAATATTATTACCCTCACGGGTAATATTACTGGAGAATCTGGGTGAGAGTGTCCCCTGCTCTTCACTCTAACATGGACTTTCCAGCGAGTCTCAGGCAGAGAGGTTGAATGATGGTGAGCAGATCCCCTGCTGTGGGGGTGGGGTATGGGTGCAGCCTCGGGAGATGACCTCCAGGATCAGGAGGGAGGAGAGAGGCCACTGCCCAGCAAGCTAACAGGCTAGGGAGAGAAGAACCTTCTCCCATTCACTACTTGATTAATGGCTCCCCCCATGGGGTGGAGCATGTAAAGGACAGGAGAGAGAGGAGTGGAAAATGAAGGGGGAAGTTCCACCTTTGGGAGAAGAGGGAAAAAACTCAAAGATCAACCCCTCGCCTCGCCTGATACAAATAAATAAAGTGTTTGGGGAAAGTGGATGTCATTTGTGGGCTCTGGTGACCAGGACCAGTTTCAGACATTTGAGAAATGAGAGGACACTCAGCCAAGAAAAATCAGGCAATCCAGGAAACAGTTCAGCCCAATGCTTTACTGTGCTTTGCAGTTTTAAAGTTCTTTGCTGAGCTGCTCATTGGAATCTCCTGGCACCTTTGTGAGACAGTATTGAGACCCCGTTCCTGTAGATGGAAAAGCAAAAGCTGAGGGAAGGCCATTGCCTGTCTGGAGGGCACACCCTTCTAGGCTGCGCTGAGCAGAGATGCAAGCTGTATCAGTGGCAACAGGCTGCTGTAACAACACCACCCCT